TTCCGGGTTTGCGATGGAGGACAACAGGTGAGGACCAAGGGCTATTGGATTCCTCAATAACGCCTAGCTCCAACATCCTGTCTAATTCGCTATAAATCAGTTTTTCAACTGCAGGTGACACCGGGAAATGTCTTTGTTTAATGGGCTTGACAGAACCAGTGTCAATTGAATGGCACAAAACACTAGTCCTGCCAAGTCCTTCCCTAGAAAATGAAGGAAACAATCTTACAACCTGTTCGAGACGTTGAAGTTCAATAGGTGAAAGTGAAACTTTAGTGGATACAGTGGAGACATATGACAAGTTGTCGGAAAGGTAATTACCCTTCACTAAACCTTTGGGAAGCAAATCAAATAACTCCCAAAAATCTACACCCAAAAACAATTCTTTATCCAGACTGGGAATTATGAAAATAGTGATCAACTTGTCAATGCCCTTAAAAGTTATGTTCTCTTTAATAAAACCTACAACCTCCTGGCTACTTCCATCTGCAGTTCTCACAATAGAACTGATTCTTTTAAATGGTTTACCAGAACGTAGAAACTCTTCAGCTGCTTTGCCACCAAGGCAACTTAAAGAGGCTCCTGTGTCCATTAGCCCTAACATTTTTCTTCCGAACAAGGTAACCTCAGCGTAAGGACGAACATCTGAGGGTCTATCGAACACCGAACTCACGAATTGTTTCCTCATATTACGCACACTCTTCCAGAAGGACCTCATCCGCTCTGCCGATCTCGAAGTTCTGACATTTTCCCCAAATATTCTATCTCTTGCCTTGTAGTATTCTCGTAAACGTATATGTAGTGGTTTTATAACGAACTTATTGGTATTAGGTATGTCTGTATCTAAAGTGGGTGTTTTTGAATCTATATCGGATTCGGGATTATTAAAGGCATGCCTTTTTAAAATATTTATTCGAGGTCCAATTCCTGAACCTTCCCTTGATTCTGTGCACTCAGATGTGCACCTACTCTCTCGTTTTTTGAACTGCATTTCCTACAGTTGGGTTTATAAACATCGGGGGTGCCGCATCCATAACAGAATATGGTTCTGTTGGACAAACAATCCTGATAGCGGTGACCCTCCTTTCTGCAGTTCCAGCAGACCAAGCCGAAAGCAAAGATCTCCTCGCCTCCATGTATGGATTGATTAACCTCATCCTGATCTACAACTTCGTTAACCTCGGAGACTCTTTTGGAAAATACAGGGGGTTTTGAAACAAAGGAGCCATGCTTTCGACGTATATCCTGTAAAAAGAATTCCCGTCTCCGGCATATATCTCTTAAATCCTGAAGGGATGAAATCTTGAGATTCAAGATTTCATGCTGGATCTCAGGCAGCAAATTTCTTCTGAGGATCTCAACAAGGGTGTCTTCAGTAAGTGGCTCTTTAAGACGATCTGTCAGCTCCACGACAGATTCGTAAAAAGTATCAAAATTCTCGCTATTCCTCTGCTTTCTGTCGCGAATTAATTCACGAATATCCACGTCAGTTCGTGAATCTCCATATTGCTTCCTTAAGCCACTACATAAATCTTGCCAAGATAGATTTCTCACTGAACGATGGTATCGCCAGAACCAATCTGCCGCTTTACCATCGAACAGGAGGCTGGCATTTCTACATAAAAGATCGTAGTTGCCCTGCAACGTCTGCACCGTAAGAGCCTCGACGCGGTAAATGAAATTTTCTATTGATAACCCGCTGGAACTACCCGAAAATTTCAGCTTCCAGTTGGTTATTATATGGAGTACCTTATCGGGCCTAGAGGTTAGATCCGAAGAGGATGACACGTTTGACAGAGTGGTCTCTGCTAATGGATCTCTCCGAATACTATTCGACCTAGTTGGGTTCCCAGAGTTGTCAACCGGAATACCTAACAAATCCCTAAGTGCGAGCTGATCAACAGGAGGAATTTGAGGAGGAGTGTATTGAGTATGAGCATGCGATCTCGTAGGTGTTCTATGTGGTTCCTGAACGCTTAAGCGAGACAAACCAGCTTCAATGTTCGTTTGCACAAGCTTGGCCACTTGACTACTAAAGGCAGAAAACAATTGCATTTGCTGAGCTGCAACTCTACTCATTATCATCTCTGTAAGACTGTCGGGATCTACACTAGCATGATCACTACCACCACAGGCACCACTAGATCCACCGACAGCACCACTAGATCCACCGACAGCACCACTAGATCCACCGACAGCACCACTAGATCCACCGACAGCACCACTAGATCCACTTTGGGATATCGCAGTGCTACCTGAAGCTTTAGGCGCATGCTGAGCACTAGCTGATTGCTTAGATTGAGATCTAGTTTTCGCACCTGAGGGTGTTGGGGGTGGTTCACTAAATAGGCGAGTGTTGCACGTTGGACAGTATGGTCTCAACTTTAGGCACTTTTCTAAGCACGACTTGTGAAAGCAATGTCCACAATTGGTACGTCTACCCTGAGCGGCATCAGAGAAACTCTGTCCGCATACCCCACATGCAGGATTGTCGGAGACCTCATTGTTAAATTCACCCAGAGCAGATTCTAAGGACATTTTCGAAGCTTTCGAACCAATACAACAACGGAAAGGATATAAGTATGTAAATCCCTAAGAACCAAAACAGAATAATCAAAATTTCGGATTCGAATGATATTACGCCAAAAGATCCCGTAATAGTGGAATATGATTATGTATTTCAGATCCAATGGAAAAAGAACAAAATAAAATTTCGGTGTTCAACAATAGTTTCGAAATTGAGTTTCAAAGATTTCAAACGATAGCAAAATGAATACTGAATTTGATAATAATTTAATAAGTTTAAATAAGTTAATGTAATTTATTTGTTGTAGGAAAATCGGATGGCCAAAATTTTCAATTTATTTATAACTTTTTGATTCTTCCCCATAATAAAAGTGCTTGCTACCAAAGATCGATCATTTAAAGTTTATAGAATAAGAAAAAAATACAGAACAGGTGATATCTATTACTCCGTGGTATAGGTCAACGCTTCTATAAATCCACGGAAGTATACAAGAGAGAATTCTGATTGACTTGTTTTATATCTTGGCCAGATCTAGTTTATGGTAATACCCAGAATCCGTATTCCAAAAGATGCAAACTAGTACAAACAAGAAATTCCAAAAACAAATATAGACGAAAATTTTCTAATTATTGGTTGTTAGAGGATATCTGGGACCAAAAACAAAATCCAATTAATTTGAAAAATTTTCTTGGAAAGGAAAAGCTAAAAGATAAGGAAAGATAGTAAACAGACATAAAAAAGTATATTGAAAATAGTTTGAGGCCGAACATGGGTTTTAGGTACAAGAACTGCACTCTAAATGATAGATTTTTTTTGATAGTATATTGATGTTCGGGCCCCACGTTGGGCGCCATTTTATTTATTATGTAACATATAACGGTTGAATTATTGTGGCTGATGTTGACAACAAACTTTTTGTGACAGTGGCACGCAGATACACGGCCTTATTAGCTCGCCGGTGGGGTTGGGTTCATCTACTGTCATGTTTGTAAATCCACTGAACATAATAAATACATAAAAACAAATTGCGTGCACTAAAATTTTTCTTCCCAACCATGGTCACATTAATAACTAATCCAAACGGAGATAAAAGACATTTTAGTGACCCCCAGGACCTCATGAAGCAAGCAACTTTATACGGGGAAATCAAAAAGTTAAAAAAAGTGATCTACTCAGAATTCATAATTAATTTTATTTTCATATTAAAGGATTTTACAAAAAAAAAAAAAAAAAAAAAATCCTTAACCTTAATCATAACTAGAGTTTCAAATTAAAAATAAAATTAAATTGTAAATTAGATTTATGAAAGTACACATTTGCGAACGCCAAAAATGTAACTTGCATTGCGATGAGCTCAATATAAGTATTTGTTCTAACAATGGGAAAAATAATATCTATCAATTATGCATGCAAAAACTAAATAAACAATTTAGAATAAGAAACGTAATTTTTTATAATATAAATCCAAAAGCTGTTTATGTTTGAACCAGTTACTATTATTGCTTATCAACTTCTTACACAGCAACTCAAAATATTATGATCCCAAAGATAGTTGAGTCGAACTGATTATGACTTTCATCAATCAACAAAACCTTCTTCAGGGTATCACTTTCAAACCCGATCACAAAAATAAAAAAAAAAACAGAAAACAAAAATGTAAATAATGTAGTAGAGATAGATAGAAGCCTCAATTGGTGTATTCTTTTGCTTTATTTCTTTGACGATACCTCCATGATACCAACAGTTGTTCATAGTATGTAATCAAAACAAAAATGATAATAAAAACTTACTTGGTCATTTTGTGGCTCCCACGCAGAAAGTACTTTCGGCGAATTCAGGGTGTAATTACTGACCTTTACAGGGTAATGTTAATGATGATGTTATGCTGGCAAGAGAGGCATGTTAAGTTAACAGTATGTGATTTAGAATAAATGAGAATGTGTTCGAGATCGGTTGCTGAATATTGATGTTGATAATGAGAGTCGTCCCTGAATGGTTCTCAATTAATCATGACCAGCGTTTTTCTGTCTCATCAAAGACTATCTTCTACATAACTTACACCATGTAATAAAGAAGAATGGAATAATTTTAGTAATGATCATTAGACCATGTAAGTGAAAAAAAAACATGTGGTAATTGATGTAGATGATGATCTTTGATGGATTATAAATGTATCACTTAACAAACCAATAAATTAAACTTTTGATTTTATAAATATAAAATATAATTAAATATGAATATTTAAAGAATCACAATCACTTTAAAATTATATTCTAATTATTTTTACTGATGTGGTAGACAAATAATCTCGCGTAATTTTTCTTAATCACTGGGGTATAACACTATTAATATTGTTTGATTTGAAGTTTTCGTTTTAAAACAAATTACTTGCTTATGATTTATGTTTGATAACTGATCTCTTTACACATTTGATCCTACCATAAAAAACTTCCACCAGATTTACAAGGTGATATCTAGCTGATCTGGTTGAATATATCCCGATTCGTGCCGAAATTGGTTTTTTCTTCATATCTTGAAAACAAAGCAGTTTGTAATAATACATCAAATTTCACATTTCTCCCATATTTCTGGTTATTGATTGACACAGGGCATTTGCCCGTCTTGATGTAATCGACGCTGTTGGAGTAAAAGTTAAAAATCACACTGACGCTGCGTTGCGGTTTGGGAATATGTGAGGCCGAAAAATGTGTTTTGTGAGAACAAAAGCTTTTGTTCAATAAGATCTCTTCCTTCACAAAACAATTGTTGTAATCAAATGCGAGTCTAGTAGAAAGAAATAAATGATTGAGGAGAGAAACTAAATAGGGTTTCTTAGAACTTTTAGGAAATAATGTTTGATTTACCTTCCTCTTTGACTATGGATTTTATTCCATAGGGTAATTGTTAAAGAGATTCAAAGGCTATCATCCAAATGCATAAAATTATGTGGCCACTAAACAAATTGTATGCTTTGATAAATATTATTTAATAATATTTGCAAATTTAGATTTTCTTACAGTCACACAACCAAAATTATAACCGCAACTTGAACTGATTTAATGACTTTCTGAAGGTGAACAAGGTTATTTTTAGAAATTTTTGGATGAACTATATTCTTCCTCTTAAGGGTTAGATGACAAAATGGACGATTCTATCTAATCTTTATCAGCTTGAACCCTCGGCAATTACAAATGCTAGCGAGTTAATTCCAGTATTTGAGTAAAAATGTAGCACACAAATAGTAGCGAGAAACGAATGCGCTTATGGATAAAGTGTTGCCTTATAACAACTTCATATCCAGGTGGCATTTCAAAATACGTTACAGTAGGTATTTTTAAGTTTGGTTTTAATTCCAAAAAAAAACAAAAGAATGAAGAAACAATCCAGTAGGGCAAGCGCCACTACAACCAAATGCTCAGTTACCCATGAGATTTTTCCTAACGCTTCACATTTTGCAATAAACTAAAATACATTGTATGCCTTTATACATTGTAGTGCAATAGTAAATAGTATGATTTTATATGTCACCATTCATTCTATGGCAGTAGAAATAAGGAAATGACCAAGAGGATTAGTGGAAATCAACCATTTGGTTGACTGTTTGAAAACGCTACAGATATCAGTTAGGGTGACTTGGAATTAAATGTATTCTAACTCGAATGTAAATGAAATGAACAATCTGATATGGACACTCTACATAGAAATGTCTCTGATACCTCTAAGAATATTCTACTTTTACAGTATTGCAATGTTTCTCTAAAACCCCGTTTCCGTGTCCAAGAAAAATTTTAGATTTAGAATCTCTTTCAATCACCTTTCTCGTTCCTAGATTTGGATGTGGTACGAAAAATAGGGCGGTTTTACAGCCAACTAGCCATTTTGCTGAGGCTAGATATCGTTTAGACTCAGAACAAATCGGAGAATCAAATGAAACCAAAAGGGTAAATATCGATTTTATGGTTAATCTGTTATGTCAAACATTCACAAATATGATGAAATCAATTCCAAAATGTGGCAATTGATTTTCGATATTAATATGGAAATAAAAAGTTTTCAAAAGAGGTAGTTTAAACGGCTGAAATGGGAATACAACTAATTAAATACTTAAGAATCCGTGTTCGGCCTAAAATGTGCCCAAAAAAGTGAAATAAAATTTCTATCTTAGGAAACAGAAGACACCTTTCCTCTATGGTATAGAACAATCCTGAAGGATCGTCTCCTTTATGGTACAGTAGACGCCTTAAGGGTTCCCCTCCTCTATGGTACAAAATAGGCCTTAAGAAGTCTTATTCTATATGACATAGAAGACGCCTTAAAGGTTCTTACCTCTATGGCACAGAAGAAGCCTTAAGATGTCATCTTAAGACGTCTTAAAATGTACTCTCTTTCTTGGTACAGAAGACGAATTAGAAGCATCTCTCTTCTAAGGTAAGGAAAACACCTAGTCTACCGCAAAATATTAAGGATATATCACATCGTTATAACGGTTTGAGACCCCATTTCTCTTTGGACGAAATCTGCTTTAGGAAATTTGCATCCGATCTAGCCTATTGATCTATCTGTTTATGAAAATGGCTGGAGTATTCGATTTGTTCGTTACTTGTAACATAGTAACATTTTTGTCAAACTTCAATCAAATTCGAAGATAGGCCTTGTGGGTCCATTCCTTCTGGTACCTTCCTCACAAAAAATTTTAAAACAAATCTACCCTACCGTTCTCCCCTCTTTCTACAAACTCTTCTAAAATTTTTGAACTTGAAATTTCGCTATTATATTATTCCTAACAACACTAAGTCCAGAGTGAACGTAGAATATACAGTACACTCCGTTTGATTCATCCCCAGTATAATAACGCGTGTCTGGTTTTCTTCAAAATTCACACACCTCAATATTGGATTAAGTGGGAAAATTGTATATATTGACTTCCACTGATTCCTCCTATATTACATATAAAGCGAAACAAGTCAAAGAATAAGTCTAAACCTAGATTTAAGCAAGTAAGCAAAGGCTATAGTCGTGCAGGGCCTACCATGTGATACCCTGCAACACTACAATATGTTAGAAGCCCCCTTATGTCCAAATCCATTTTTGAAGATTACGCTTTTGAAATTATGTCATAGAGAAATGCACATATATTACCCTTAGCTTTTTGACCAGGGGCATTTGCCCAGTATTTACGCACTCCGTCGTGTTGCTAGTTGTTGTGGTCCATTTTACAGCTAAGTATACTCCAGTGGTCATCCAAAATTCTAGAGTTCTTCGCTGTCTTTAACTCTCTACTCATGCAAAATTCCGTGTCGATGGCTTTCATTTGTGTGATCAAGAAAATTTTTCTGTTTTTGGTTCATTTGAACCCCTAAATATTTTGCGATTATCTCCACATACAAGAGGCCCTCTGTATTTCAAAAGTTAGACTCATTTGTATGATTTGCTTGTCTACGATATTTGGTTATATTCGTTAACGAAATCAGCATAAAAAAGCCAGAAGTTCATCTTTTGTGTATTTTGAATTTCGCCTGTAAGTTATTCTCGTCGTTTCGGTAGAATGGAAATGTTGGTATTTTTTACACAAAAGTTGTGGACATCTTTAAAAACATAGGCCTAGCCCTTCTGAGCCTAACTCTACCCTTATAAAAAATTTCGTGAGGATCAGACCATAATTGCAATCTGCATATAATAACTCCCACCTGTGTTGTACGGTGAAAAATATTACAAAATGTACACTTCAATATTATAAGTCAAATTAAAAAAATTACATGCGATAAAAAATATCAAAAAAATTCACAAAATACTACAAAATCTATATTAACATCATTATTGGCATCTTTTTATGCAATTTTTTTACATTTTATTTTTTTATGCCAAGAGGGCATTCTGAATTGACAAAATCGGTCCAGCCATTCTTGAGTTATAAGCATTCTAGGTAACATCCCTGTCCTCCAGACCTCCATCCAGACGGAGGGACGGACATACACACCTAAATCGACTCGGTGGGATATGTCCGAATACCCCCAACACATAGTGTTTTAGTTTATAAAAATGTTTTTAATTTACGAAAAAATTGACCTATCTAACCGATTGGGTCTATAATGATATGAATCTAAAGTTTTCGTCCATAGTGCCTATGACTAGACGTTTTGGGAACAATGTGGCAAAAAAAGTAATACAAAATTTTGAGTTTCTGTTGTAAAAATATAAAAAAAAACATAAAATGACGTCGTAGTGGTTCTACAAATTTCGTTATGACAGAACTAATTTTCATTTCCATATCACTTAATGTACATTGAATGTAACTTCTCATAGCTCGCAAAATTGCAGCTATACACATGTACATATGTAAAAATACTACTTAATAATAATAAAAAATAACGATGAGCATTATTTGTAAAATTCAATAAGGTTTTAAATTTCTTTTACCTCCGAATACCGCAACAATAACCATAACAATGACGGCAGCAGCAGCAGCAGCACAGAAACAGTAACCATGACAAATGCAAACAAAAAACTGTCACTGATAGACGTCATTTGTCTGGTCTGGTATGGTCTGGCTTGGCTAAAATGAAATTGCAACAACAACACCACTACAGCCAACAAGAACAGCAACAACTGTTAATTACAATAGCAATTTGTGACATTTACAATAATTGTTGTCATAACATGAGCACACATCAGTCTTCACAACAACACAAACAACAAACGACAAATGATAACAACAATACCAACAAATTGAATTAAGTAGCTAATAACATCAGCAGCAGCAGCAGCCACAATAGCAACGGCAACAAGAGCTTTGAAAGCGGAGGAAGCAACATCATGGCTAAAACGATATTCGCTGCAATGCCAACAGCATTGCTGTCTGCCACCACAGACGAACTACGGCGACGACGCATAGAATAATCGCAATCGTTACTGTGAACAGTCAGTCGGTCGTACTGCTGCTGATACACTTTGCGAAAAAAATGGTCATTCATTTGAATTTTTCTTGTTGTTGTTGACACTAAATATCATGTTGCTGTTTAGTCTGGCATATTTATCGCAACACCTGACTGAAAGACTGACATTTTACGTTTCTATATCAATGAACGAATTGATTAGGCAATTTATATAGAGATATTTAAATATGTAGCCGAAGTATATTTTGTGGGTAAAAAACTAAGAGGCTTTATTATGTTCCAGACATGGGTTAGGAACCGACTGGAATGCCTGCGCCGGTGTGAAAGCTATTTTGATGTTCTGATACCTGTATCTATGTATAGGTATCACAACAATTGACAATGGTTGATTCTTAAATGGCATAATTGCACCGTTGTAATGAGGGAGCCAGGGACTCCCTTGAAATTATAACTTTATTATACTCTCAGTCATATGGCTACAGAGGGTATAGATCTTTTGATAAGGCCAATACATGCCTCATCGAAATAACATTTTTAGACCCTAGGACTCTGTCTTGATAGTCCGCACGATAAATCTCGAAGGAAGAATCCGATTTTCAAACCTAAATGGAGTTCGAAGATGGCAATATCGGTACACTCCTTCTGGTGCCTCCCTCACAAAAGGTCGGCACTTTCAAATTCAAATAAAATTGAATAAAATTGTACGAATCTCGTGTAATTTTGCCCATTTATCTGTATTAAAAATGGAATACCTCGGTCTCACATTTTTAAATTTTCTAAAAATTATCACATATCTCATAAAAAGTGAAGGAAGTAACCAATATATTACGAAGCTGGCATGTCACAATATTTATATCATATTTATTTAGGACCGAAACGAAATGGTCAATACTGGCCCATTTCTTTGGAACTTACTCCATAGGGGGTCAACAATTTGAATAATCATAACAGAAGTCAAAATAATACTTTTTAACTTGTTTTTCTAAATGTTAAGATATCCGCTAATTCCCGATGTACGCTCAGACATATGACAACAGAGGATATTAAGCTAAAAGTCGGCTCATTGATAAAATGGCAAAACTTTTCAAAAAATCTGAAATTAATCCTTAATTTTTCCAAATGAGGTCTAATAATGGGATATGGAGCTTTACTACTACCACAATTTTTTTTTTTTAAATTCCATATAAGAGACCATTTACATTGATCTACTCGTAATCATAGCATTTTTATCCGTGTGACCTATATTTATATCCAACAACACTATGTGTTGAGGGTATTATAAGTTTAATTGGTCCATAAATTTTGTAACACCTCGTAATATTGGTCCTACACATAGGATGTTATATATGGATCTTCCTATCTCGCCGATCTATGTCCGTCCGTCTGTCCATGTTAATTTGTAATCAAGCTACAGATCGCTACAGATCAAGCTATTATCGTCCAATCCTCACGAAATTAAGAATCCTTTGCTTTTGCAGATGTTCGCAAAAACCAAAAACTGGAATTTTATCTGACCAATAGAAACGGAATTTTGCATGAGATTAGACTTGAAGACAGGACAGAAGCCTACCTTTTTAATGGTCATCGGATTATATTTAGCGGGTAAAGTGGCAGACAACTTTTATGTGAAATTGTTTTGGCTACTGATTAGCACGACATAGGGCGTAAATATATGTAGGGCAATGTCAAGGGTAACATTTTGAGTGACTCTATAGCATTATTTCAAAAACGGTGTTGGCCAAAATAGGTTTCGACTTGTCGGGGTTTTTCATTATATTATAGTGTTGTAGGGTATCACATGGTCGGCTCCGCACGACTATAGTATACTTGTTTGTGTAAATGGCCAAGCTAGACTAACGTATTAAGATACTCAAACAGCTTATGAAATCGAACTAGTTCTCCGATTTGTTTCAATTTGCGAGCATCTTAATAAGTTTATCCAGCTTTGGCCAGGTGCTAGGGTGTTTCCCAGGACCTGGGAAATCCATACATTTATATCTCGCTCCAGGTTTCTCAATCCGAGCTGACAGTTGGACCAAATTGCACTCCCGCACTTTGAGCTTTCGAAACGCTGGAAAATTTTCTGCTCATTGGGATTCCTAAGTATTTAACCACTGATAATTCGATTGGAAAGCATTAAACCACTGTATGCTACATAGAAGACCCACAATAAAATAAGTTGCGACGAGAATAAAGCATCAAATTTTAAAATTGTAATTTTTTTGAATCTTGAATACTTCTAAAATACAGAAAATTTTGTTGGAAACTAAAGCACACATTTTGGACTCTGAGTAACTTTTCCACGTCCCTCCATACAAGTGTGAATGGTAATTACAACATGAATGTGTGTATAATGTTGCACTTAAGTTAATACAACGATGCAATACAAAACCCCGTTGAACAATTTTTCTCCATTCGATTTTACGGTGTTAGTTAATCCTAGCCAAAAGTAATACTACACATTCATACATACATATATAATTGTTTAATGTGTTCTTTAAAAACTTCAGAGAAACAAAAACAACAAAAAATGCTAATGCACGTCAACCACATTCTCATCGAACGACATGGAAAACAACAACAATTCCATCAACACAAAGAATAGTAGAGTTGCACTAATAGAAACAATAACAATCATGGTTTTTAACATGACATAAAATACCACAAAACTACACACAACAAATATGAGAGTTGCAGACTCAATTCAACAACAAATAGCAACAAAACAAAACAAATTGAAAACAAAAGAAGATGACAAAGAAAATGAGAAAATATGGGGGGCAACTGATTAATGTTAGGAAATAGCTACATTATTCTGATTATAGTTCTCATTGCATGGGTTTTGCTTTTCATTAGAGGACGTATACAGCTCTGTGGAGTTTGCATAAATCTGGTGATCCTAAGCGAAGACTAGTCCACACTGTCCATATCTGCAATCTCTACCAGATAATTGAAGGGTATTTTGGCCGACTTGAAAACGATCGGTATTACAAACTTTCCTCGAGGGAATTACGGTCACTTCCAAGGCCTATGGGAAGGTCAAGCGAATTGCCAGTCTTGCCTTTGGAGTTCCTGTCAGTCTTCTCGTTGTCAGCATTGCGGCAAAGTTCAGTTCTGACGAACATAGGGCTGAAATGTCGGCGTGTCAGGTGCAGAGAACGCTCTCATTTCGACTTGACAACTTCAAGTCAGCTTTGCGTTGGAGAGGATTGGAAACCATTCTCCCATCGTGTCGTTTAGCAGTTCGTTCACTCTTCCTCTGTGGACAACATTTCTCCTTGGGTGGATAGTGGGTTTGTCTATTCCAGGAAGGTTGGATTTGTGTTTTCACGCTGGCCAGCCCGTAAATCCTGCAGTATGGAGCAAATTTCAGACGTAGCCTTGAAGAGGGCAAAAAATGTAGTTCTGTTTTTTTTCACGATCCTCTTCAATCATTGCCTGAACCTAGGGTACTCTCTACGGCTTGGAAGGAGGCCAAGACACTGAAGCGGGGTTCTAATCCCTCTCAGTGAGGAACCTACTAGTCTATCGCCGTTCTGAAAGTTATTCCAATTTCAGTTATTCCAGGAATTTTCTACGAGAATATCAATTTGGTTTTAGGTCTGGTGTCTATACGATCCATGCCTTAACGGCTTCTAAAAGATTTGTTGGCAAAAACTTCGACAGACAGTATGGAGCTATAGTCGTCTCCCTAGATAGCGGCAGGACTTTTGACTCTGTCTGTCGTGAGGGAATTTTGTATAAATTCCAATCATTTGGCTTCGACAGTAAATCATGATAGTATTCCTAGGATCGATTTTTCAGGATAAAATCGGGTGAGCGACTTTTTGCCGCCCGATGTTGGCATGGGTTCCTCAAGCTCTGACCCGATGTAATAAAACATGCGACATCCCGGCTTCTCCCTTTGGCGGTCTTTTCCTGACCTATGCCGATGATGTCCTTTAAGCCTTTTCCGGTCCCTTCGCTAGGTTGGCAAATACGGGCGCTAACGAATGACTCTATAGCCTTCATCGGTATATTAGATGGCGCCTAAGTTGAATGTGGGAAAATGCTGTTCTACAGCCTACCTTGGTTGGCCGGGCATAGTATACCCTAATTTTAGGAGTTTTCAGCTGGTTCTGAAGATAGGCTTCCAGTCTCGGATAAGATGAGATACCTAGGGGTAGTAGTACAGGAGAGGTTACACCGTATTCGCCTTATATACTAAGTTCTGTCTAAGGTCAAGGATCCTTATTTCGGATACAGTTGACCCTTGAGGATGGGGTGGTCTTTTCCACTATTTTATGTTCTTGATTTACCGGCAGGTGAGCTATCATCGCCTGTGCCTCCCCCGTCTGGTTTGACATTTCGTCTCATCAGATGGAAAGGCTAAGATTATGAGAAAGAAAAATACTTTACTCTTCTCTGGGTCTTAGCCCGTTCCGTAGGGCAGCTGGCTTATATAGAATCTATTTCTGTATGTTGATTTAGGATAGGATGCAAATAGATAGAATATACGTCTTTATGACGAAGGCTAGACAGATATTCTTAGACAAATGACAGTTCATAAATAATAGCATTTTTGGGAGTATGTTAAGGTGCTTTGATGATGTGGAACAGCTTCGAGGCGGGAGGTATTTGCCACCAGCAGCCCTCTTCAGGCTGATCGAGCTAGCTTCAAGGGGGTAGCTAGCCCAGAGTCGTGTATGAAAATATAAAACTGATATTTACCTATCGAGATCAATATTTGAAAAAGTACCTTAGTTTTATCGTGCATTGGCCATTGATCAATTTGGACCAGAACTCATCGCAGACTCCAAGAAAATTCCCAAAATTTTTTGTTTTCGAATATAATTTAAATCGGTAGAACTTAGTAAAAGAAACTTACCAAACTGGTGTAGAATGGCGTAGCAGTTTCCACAGCAATACTCGGATAGGGATTTTGATCATTCGATGGATATGTTGAACCGAATACACTCATTCCAACTCCGGCAACCGGTGTTCCTGTTGCGAGACGGGTGTATGAACCTAACGCCGATAATCTGCTCGAATTACTAGCAGCATCGTATTGACACGAGCAAACACTCTGACCGGTCATTGGATCTGTGACCATAGGACGGCCATTATCACAGCAAGCTTGATTCGCATTAGCGATTCCACTCCCGAGTACACCTATACCAATGCTGCCGGGACCATTGGGACTGGTACCGCTAACTACGGACAACGTATACGGATGTGCAGCACTATCCAGTGAGCTGCAGGCTGCTGTCGATGCAGTATTGGTACTGCCCAACGCCGATGTCTGTGACACAGCATCAGGCGTTAAGGTACCAGCCGAACTGTCACTATTACTACTTGCCATGCTGTTTTCTGCACCTGCAGCCGGTGCTGGGCTAATCGAAGAAGTATTTGTTGTTAGTGTTGTTGCCGCCAGCGGAGATTGTGCAATAGGATGACCGGTTGCAGCATGATGACTCGCTGTTAGAAACTGTAAAATTTAGAAAAAAAATAATTGAAAAATCAAAATTAAATATTTATAAGGTTATCTGAGTAGAAGTTAGAATGAATTGGATGATGTCTTTTTGTGTGGGAGTTACGAGAAGAAGTGGGAGTTACATATCTACGAACTCGATCCAAGTTTTGTGATAATATTACGATGTACCAAGTTTGGACGAAATCGGATACTCCTTCGAGAATTATCGTGCCAGACAGACGCACACCCCTACCCTCTCTAAATCTCTTTGTTTCATTTTGCGATATTTATTTTCACTTTTTGTCTTTACACACTACAACACTATATAACTCTAAAGGTCGAAATTATTGTAAATCGAAGCATGTTGATTTAAAAAAAATATTGGAAATCAAATTAAACAAAACATAAATACGGTGAAAATCAGGCAGATTATAAAAGTAGACCTAAAAAGAAGACATATGTATCGGTGTTTTCAAAGTTCGCATTGCAAAGTAATCAAAATCGAGGGGAATATTCAATTGGCAAATATGAACAAGACCCTAAAAGTAATTAAAACAGGTTTTGCAGAAAAATTTACACCTTCAGCCAATGTTCGATTGTTAAAATATATTTTGACTTCTGTTATGTTTATTAAAATTGTTGACTCTCTATGGCCTAGGTTCCGAAGTAATGGGTCAATATTGAATCGGGTCTAAATAAATATGATATAAATATTGTGTCGTGCCAGATTTGGACTACATTAACTACTTCCTTCACTTTATATCACATATACAGGGTGGGATGAAAAAACTGCAACAAACTTCAGACTGCTGTCATTTGTAAGCCACTCGCCCAACAGCTGTTAAAATTATTCCAGTGACAGCTTGTTACATTGTTTACAAGCGTACAAAGGCATTTTGGTGAGAACTTTCCAGAAAAAAAGTTATTCGTGATGGAATTAAAGCGTGATAATGTGATTTCATTATATGTGCCTGGAAAACAACAAGTGCCTATCGTTAGAGCACTCAAGCATTTAAACGTGAATAAATCTTTTGTGTTTCGCACCATCGCTCGTTACCGTGAAACTGGTAGAGTAGCCCGACATCAAAGAAGTGAACGGAAGAAAACAGCACCATCAGCAGAAATGGTTCGAAAAGTAAAGAAGCCACTTGATCGAAACACTCGTCGCTGTGGGCGAAAAATGGATCGTGAGCTGAACATATCGCAATGTTCCATTCGGCAAATATTAAAAAAATGAGCTCGGAACTTACAACGCAACAGAAGAAAAATAGACTTAAAAAAGCTAAAGAGTTACTTCGCTTGGTCGAAAGTGGTGAACTGCCGATTTTTTTTCTCCGATGAGAACACATTCGTTGTCCACCAGTTTGTAAACAAACAAAATGATCGTGTTTACTTGCCAAAGAGGTAAGCTGAAAATGTGCACCTTCGGTAGGCCACCAGAACTCAAGCGCCGGCCATGGTGATGGTGTGGGCTGCCATAAGAGTCGTTGGTCGCTCTCCGCTCGTATTAATCGACTGTGACATCAGTATAAATGCCGATTATTATCGCGAAAATATTCTGAAGGATGTAGTAAAGCCTTGGGCACGCAAAAATTTTGGCCGCAGACCTTGGACATTCCAACAGAACTCAGCACCATCACACTTAGCACGCGCCACCAAAGAATGATTACAAAATGGGGTTCCTCGCTTCATTTCCAGCGCACAATGGCCACCAAAATCTCCGGATACCAATCCATTGGACTATTGTGTCTGGAGTATTTTGGAAAGCAAGGTTGGCACTAAAAAATACCAAAGTGTCGATCACCTCAAGCAAGCGCTTCGCCGGCCAAAGGTGACCAATTCGAACAAATCTAAACTTATTTTAAAATTTGATGCTATTTCCGACATTGTATGCTTTCATTGAATAAATGTAAAAAAAAAAATTGGCGTTTGACTTTGTTCCAGTTCTTTTAACTCACCCTGCATATTAATTTCCTGTGAAACCAAACTATAACTGCTCTAAAGCCAAATGTTGATAGGTGGTATGATCTACTTTAAATCAATTCTTTTGTTACAGAAGCTCTACTAAAGATGCGTAGTGCTGTAGGGTATCATATCGTACCGGCCCCGCCTGACTTTTGACTTTTCCTTACAGGTTTTGTACTAAATTTTGTATAGGTCTTTTAAACTGAATTCTCGCAGTAAAGTGCAGGCAAAGCGTGCAGGAGCGGCTAATCATGTATATAAAATTAAATAAATATTGCATTTAGAAAACGTTTCAGTTTCTTATAACGGATTTCATCATATTTCCTATTGGAGAAATCAAATGCTGAAGTGTTTTTTTGTTTTGCATGCTCTTAATTATGCCATCCATGAAGTTATTGATATATGTGTCTGCGATGCGTATTTGAACTGCGCTCTTGAATGTGAATGTGAATGCAACTTAAAGTAACTATAAATTCATTACAATTTCATAGCGTGTTAATAGACCATATAAGTTATCTAAGAAGCTCTTCGCCCTGCAATGTTACATTACTTAGCGCATATCATCATCAAATTGCTACATGATGGGTAATTTTCTCTGTTCATAACTTCTTCACATGTATATATACATATTTATGTTTTTATATATTTTGTAACGCTTTTTGAATAAATTAATTTGCAATTTATTTTTATTACGGTGCAAATTGCAATTTTTGTTTTCATTTTCGTTTTTTTTTTCTAAAACAATAATTAAAAGAATACAGTAAGGCACAAAATAAATCGATCTTTAAACAACCTCCATTATATTGAAGACCTACACTATAGTTGTATAATTTGGCCTCAATATCGTTATAATTTTGCCATAGAGTTTTCTCTAGGTTGCGAACTCATTCTCAATCATATATACTACAATTAAAATTCCTTTAAAATTCGGGCGAGGCCGACCATTTGATACCCTACAAGACTAAAATTTATTGTAAAGTCTCTGCGGATCTAGACCCTTTTAACTAGAATGAAGACTCCCCTAAGAAGCATTCCCATGCCTACTTCATAATAAAACCAGTAAAGAAAGTCTTAAAGTCGGACGGGGCCGACTTTATGATACCCTACACCACTTTGCATATTTATTTATTCACATAACAATTAAAAGTTTTTGTGGCATAACTAAATCATACAAGCTATGATTATTTGCCGATTGCTAAATTTGCCGATGAATTTGTGTCTTTTCAATTGGGGCTTGTATTGCCCATTTGGTGCACAATTAACTTGAAATCGGAAAAATATATATATGGGAGCTATATCTAAATCTAAACCGATCTCGATAAAATTGGGCATAGATATTTCTGAGCTGTATTTGATATTTATCCCTGAATATCGTTGTTATGGAGTGCTTCGGCTGCGGAGCTCAAAAATAAAAAAATCGGTTGAACAATATATATGGGAGCTATAGCTATATCTGAACCGATTTCGATGAAATTTGGCATACTTTTTTCAGGCCTAATTTGATTGTATGTGCAAAATTCCATACTATTTGGACTGATATTAGACGTTTGGTGCACAATAAAAAGCAAATCAGATGAAGTTCTATATGGGAGCTATATCTAAATTTTGACCGATTATCTCCAATTCGTCCTTGGGGCAAGCAAATGACTTGTGCAAAATTTCATCTCAATCGAATAATAAATGCGACCTGAATATTGTTTACAAAAATACATGGACAGACAGACAGACGGACGGACATGCATAAATCGACTCAAAATGTGATTCTATGTTGATCACCAAAAGGAACCATGTTACAAACAAATGCACAAAGACATAATACCCTTACCACTATGTGGTGTAGGGTATTAACAAATTTTGAACCTACTTGCTCCTTTTTTCGAATAACCATCATAGATCTGAATCCAATATTTTTCAAAAACTTACGATCTAAAAAAGCATTGGTGTTTGATGAAGCATATGTTGCTTGAACGTCAAATAAATAATTCGCTCCTTCGGAAAGAACAGGAATTTCATATTCAAAAAATGTTTTCCATGCATTTCATTCTTGAAATAATGTCACATTGTCCAGAAAATGTTTTATTTTGGTTGTTGACCGAATCCTCGAGTTCATGTATGCCCTATATCTTATTAATAAATGTTCAAAACAGTATTGAAAATCTATATGATATTCTATATCTTGGCTATATATTTTTGGCTATATTTGTCAACGAAATCAGCTTGAATAAAGAGATCAGAGGTCCGCCTTTGATGAATTTGTGATTTCGTTAATTTTGGTAGTTTGTTTTTTAACAAAAAATGGTGATCCATTTCACCAGCTAAATAGTAACCAATGCTCTTCAAAATGCTATGATTCAGAGCTGCCATGTACTCCAACTTCAAAAAATCCACGTCTATTAGTCCTTAATTTAGAAATGAAGAGCGACAGCAAAATCTAGCTAATTTTTAGGTTTTTGGTTCATTTAAGTCGAGTCTAAAACGTCGCCAGAAGGAGTGGACAGAAATAACAATAAGAAATATGTCAAGAGAAATATTGAGATACACGAAGTTCGTTGAAAATCGCTGAATTGTTTCGCATGTTATGTGAGATATAATTATTCAAAATTTTGACCCCTTTGTAGGAAAGGTACCAGAAGGAGTGAGCCTTTATATCCCATCATCACAGCAAATCGTTTGTTAATGAAAATATTGGGATGTGTGTGTAAAGACAATCGTACTCTTATTTCACATTTTATAAGAGTTTATTTCAAATTTTGACCCTTTATGGAGATGTGCCAAAAGTAGTGGTCCTATATATTCCATCTTCACACCAGGTCTTGTCTTAGTAGAAAAATTGGATTTTGTGAAATTTTAATAGAATTAGATATTCAATTCGGCTTTAATTATCGTCTTGATTATACAAATTGTTGACCCTTTGTGGGAAAGGTACAAGGCGGAATGGGTCGACATCTATCATGTACAATTCTTGTGTAGATAATTCTTTTGTTATAAAAATATTTAGATGTTCCAGGTTTCATTTCGCGTTTTACGCGCCTCATGGCTATTAAAATTTT